TACAACAACTAGATGTTGTGTTTATTGTAGTTGTAGTATGTGTCAGCAGTATTAGTTTATTTGTATTTTTTGTATCTACTGTTTTAACAGTCTGCTGTTGTAACCTTTGCTGCCCTCTGGGCCAGGTCACAGTTGAGAAGATGTTTATCTCAGTGAGGCTTCACCTATATAAATAAAGGATAAATAAAATAAAAATACGGCACTACATTCATCTGATAACTTGTTACATTTCAGAATCAGATTAATGAAACAAAATACAATATAATCATAGAATTTTATTGATCCCTGGTGAGAAATTCACAAGCTACCCAGCAGTTATTTAAATTATATGCATATAGGGTAGTGAAAATTAGCTCCACCGTAACCAGAGGCAATGCAATGTACACAGTAATAATAATTGAACAATATTATATACATTTATTTGAAATGTGCCATTCTCCATAATGAGTACTTTCACTTTTGGCATTTTAAGTATATTCTTTTGCTAATACTTTTGTACTTTTTCCTAAGCAACATTTTGAATGCAGGACTTGACAGAATATTTTAACACTGTGGTATTGCTGATTTTACTTAAAGAATCTGATACTTCTTCCACCACTTGTATTTCCAGTGTACAGGAATTTTGAATGTGAAAAAATGGTGCAAGCCAAATAAATAAACATGCTACAATAAATATACATATTACATTAATCTTTATGTAAATTCTTTTCACAGTTGACAAAACTAGATTACAACAATTGCTTAAAAAGCCCATGGCTGCTTTTCCTTGTTGTTGACTTATCTACAATGTTACAGTGAATTATCATCTTAGATGTGACCTACGAGGTGTACGTGTGTTCTAGTACTTCTATACAGAAGCAACTTGGTTTACACACATCTCACAAACTCTCACTCACAAGATGTTTTGTTCAAAATAAAAGTATTACGTGAGAGTTTAAGGATTTCCTTAAATGGTCATAATCTCCAGGCAGTTCCACGTTCATGTGAACTTGCCTGACATCCGCTGGTGCCACTGCAAAAACAAGATTTTTTTTGACTGTGCCCGGTTTTGTGGATATATTTGACCTCCTGCTGCTGCACTGTGACCAGAGGATGTGGAGAAATGGGGCCTGAGGTTACTGCAAGTCCAGAAATGTTCCTGTACAGGGACTTGCTGTTTTACCTGACTGCACTGTTCTGGCTTCCTGACCGATCTTGTGTCACAAAGTGTTCCACTGTTGAGATGTTCCTTGTTCTAAAGTCAGTTTCATGTAGCGCCCCCCTCAGTGGTTGTGATTAGGATATTGTTAGGATTCAGGTTATTGAAAACATCTCAATGGGGAAACGGATTTAAACACAACACTGGCAGCAGGAGGTGTGCGCGTACACGAACTGTCCTCTTGCTTCTAAGAAGAGGCTCTTGGAACCATGGGCTCTTTAACAAAGGGCACTGCTTTTTGACTTTCATGCTAAAATGTCTGAACAGCTTACTTTTCTTGAATTATCGCCATACATGTTTTGGGCTGAAACAGATATGCCTGCATCAAGCTACATCAACTACAGTATCTACAGTAATGTACAACAAATAGTGTTTTCATTATCAGGCCTAATATCCGTTGCCTTAGTTCATGCCTGAAGTAATGAAAACATTGTATTTAAGAACAAAACTAAAAACTCTGGAAATTTGGAATATATGTGCAACAGCTTCCTGCATTTCTAATGTAGATACAGAAGATTTCAAGAAATAATTAAGTTACTGCTTAAGTACTGTACCGTGTGTCGATTGCACACTGCCCCTCTCTCACTGAGGAGACAGTTAATGCTGCTTTGTGATGGATGTTGGGGTTTCGTTAAGTCAAAGAAAAGGCTTTCCATTCTACATTTGTTTGGTCAGCATGACTACTGAAATCCACAAGTGTGAGAGTGGGTAATGGTGTGATGGTGAAGGGAGTGCGCCATGAAGGTGCAATGTGAATTTCAGGAGCTGAAGTTCCCAATACCTGCTCATATCAAGCTAGATCTGACAAGTGACTGAGAGCTGACGTCTACTCAGGGGACAGTTCAGCTCTGAGTGTCGTTTTAAAAGGATAGGCAATAGCTACATGGCTAGCTAAAGGAGCCAGCTCTACTGAATAAAAGAGTATACATAATCTATTTGACTTTGTTAATTAAAAGACTACATCATGTTAAAAACACACATCTAAGAGTGTTTCTACTCATCTGTCCTTTTCTCGTCTCCTGATCGATGGGATAGTTTGGACCCTGAAGACATGGTGATAGCACCTAATATTTGGATGTGGTAATGTTAACCTATTTGTTTCCATTTTTCCACCTAACCGGAATGTCAATCATTTATGTGATGTACCCTCCCCTCAGTCAGGAACAACCAATAGGAAGTCTCTCCACACAGATAATAGTAGCAATGACTGGATGCAACATGTAAAGAAGATCACCAAATGAAAATTAGAAATTAATAACACGTCAGGGTCTCCTGTGAGGAGGCCACAGGGCCCTAGGCGACCACCTAGTTTGCTATGCCATGGGTCGACCTGATACACAGTGAGAGACAGAGGCTTAACGCTCTAACACAAGAAAAACAATGAAAACTAGGAAATAAGGAACACAATGACAATCGAGCAGTGACACAAAGGAACAGACCAGTATGTATGTCTGGGGAGCTAAGTTGATGCATAGACAGGTGTGGTGGGTGTGGCAGATTAGCGGCAGAGCAGAGCTGGATAGAAAATCTGGGAAGGTGAAGGCTGGTTGAGTACCTGGATAAGACCAGAAAAAAAAACAGGACTGGAATTGCAACACAGAAGGAGCGATTTGATATCATCACCTAAGGTCTTGGTAGGTTCCTGTCGGGGTTAAACACAACACTAAAATCCAGGTAACGGACTTTATGCCAACAGAATTTCCCGATGGCAGTGGCCACTTTCAGCCTGATGCACTCTGCACAAATCTTTTCAAGAATGGTTTGAGGAAGCTTACAAAGAGTTCACAGTGTGGCCTTGGCCTCCACGTTCTCAACATTTCAGTTGGATGGAGCATCTGTGGGATGTGCTGGATCTGCTGGTAACATCTTGATGTCAGATACCAGAGGACACCTTCGGAGGTCTTGTGGAGTCCAGGCCTTGATGGGTCAGAGCGGTTTTAGTGACACCAGGGGGACATAGTAGAATATATTGGGCAGTTGGTCATAATGTTGTGGACGAACATGGCTGATATCCTTCTAGTAAATTCTAATCTGGAACACCTCAGACATTATATACTCTATCTGAATTATTGATTCTGCCATCAATAGATATAATATCCAACTGCACTGGGAAATCACTACAATGCTGATACATTCTGGTTGAAGTTTTGGCAGCCCATGATGATGTATATATTGTTTCAGACTGCTCCATCTTAACATACCTAAACACACACAGGCTGTTTGAATAATCTCCTGTCACCCCCATGCCATAAAAATCCTGCGTGTGGAAGGAAGGCTAGTAGTGAATCACGAGCAGTTTTTCAGCAACAGTCAGGAGCACTCCTGTTTCTGAACTATAACAGAGCTACTCTATTAATCATGCATTGCTTCGGAAGCAACATTGGTAAATTACTTAGGATTTACTATGAGCACATGGGTGAAGCTATACACAGTCCTGCTGACAGTTGGTGCATGTAACACAAAAAGGAATGTAGCACTGCGCCACCATAAGGCAGGAACAATCACTTCTGGCCCATAACCACGGATGTAATCAAAATTTATTTAGAAAATTGGCTTTGCAAATTTAGGTTTAGGAGGAAGAAAATGCATTTAACAGGTTTGTTTACAGAATCTCATAGGACCATTAAGATTTGGACTTGTCTTTTTATTAGCCAGAGCTTAGATGTTTGAGCTCACTGATCTGACAAATCAAAAGCAGAATCCAATTTTGAGCACAAACATTCTGCCCTGCTGTTATGAACAGTAGCGCAAAATCATCTCAGCCACAGTCCACTACATTTTTCTGGGACTTTCAACATCACCTCTTGGCAACCTTTGGCTCAGTCGTCACGGGGTTGTTCATGTGGTGAAAGCAGTGCCATCGCTGTGACAACTGAACCAGCTTAAGTTTTTGATAAACACTGTGGAACAACAGCTGTAGAAAACTGGAAAAAGCTACTAAGTGGACCTTAACATAATTTTGTCAACTAGTATTAAAGTGAACTGAACATTTCTATTTAACTGTTTTTTGGAAAACAACCTTGGCAGACGTTATGCTAAACCTCTAGGTATGGCCTTGTAGTGCCTCTGTGTGACAGTCATACCAGATGAAAATAATGGTGTTATATAAAGAACACGGTTCTTCCTGTGACACAGTAACGACATATTAAAGCAGATGACAGAAGAAAGACGACTAACGAGGAGGCTCTTCACAACCTACGGTACTTTAGAGGATTAACATTCTGAAATCTCAACATACAAAACAAATCAACCAGCAGGGCTAAGGTGATCTGTTTGTGTTTACGGGATGTTTCATATTTACAAGAACAAAGAGAGAACTGTATTGAGTCCACACAGTTAAACTAACGAAATCAAAACTCTCTTTCCTCCCCTTGCCTCCCTATTCCAGTCATGGTGGTCCTCCTCCCACATGATGGATAACATGATGGTACTGATCAGTACTGCAGTGCCCTGAACAGGGTTCACAGAAAGCTTGTCATCTGAAAGCATGAAAGCATGTTATCATAATTCCAGCAATGCATCATGTTTCAGTGATGGTTTACCAAGTATGAAGAATTTCAAATTTAGACCCATTCCATCAACTGTTGGTTTTCCAACCCAAAACACCATTGATGACCTAAATAAACTATTTTGGTTCAACACGGAGACAATGAAAAACCCTACCAGCGCTAACCAGACATCTGATGCACAAGGACATATAGTAGAGACAACTCTTTATCATCATTATGCTTCTAATCTGTTCGTTGAGGTTGATCATGTCAGCCTTTTGTGATGACTGACTTCACTAATAGAATTGTCACCAATTTCCCGAGTAAATTAAAAGGCCATATCTAGCCAATCTATCTGTAAGCTATCTATAATGTTAGGCAACTATCAGTCCACAACAAACAGACATAACATTTTCTTTGATTGAACAACATGGTGCCATGCAGCTAACTGTGGGGTGAAGTCACAGGTTGAGCTTTGTAGAAGTCACTGGGTAAATTTAGCTATTTGAACTAATTCACTTTTAAACTGTTTGATCAATTCTGGATCAATTCAGCTGTTGAGATGTGGCCCTCTACTCTAGTTTGTGGTAGAATGTTCAGAAAACAACAGAACTGGTTTGACAGCTCAGACTAGGGTCTTCTTCATTGCGGCAGTTGCTCAAGCTAAATAATAAAAAAGACATAATTCTCAAAGTAAAGAGCTGAATTATTTACAAGCAGCAGCTTTAAGGCTGCTGTGGTTCAGTTATTTTGGGGTCATGTTTCTCTGTTAAAGAACACTAAAGTTACCCAAAAGACCCTTTTTATACCTTGTATAACATGATCCAATATCATCCAGTCACAGGCTTTTGCATTTATGTCCGCATTGCCCTCATACAATTCACATTTTAATGGCAGGCTGACATGAGGCCTAAAATGTAGTGGTGAAAAAAAAAAAAAAACTTCCAGAGCCAGTTGCTCTGCCCCCTCCCCTACTTAACCTTTACCATAACCTTAACTAGATCCTAATTTAAAGGAGAAGGCTGGTCATTTTCTATATTTACAGTATTTTAAGCAGTCCTCATACAAAGACTACAAGCAATAATGATTTGCCTCTACTCATGATTAATGTCCATCAATCTGTCACTCCTGGATCAGCTTGTTCCTCTGTATTTTAGACCTCTATTGTTGTTCAAAAACCACTAAAATACTCCAGTGAAACACATCGCTACACTGGTTGACATGTTTCCTCTGTATAAAACATCAGACCCTGAATTTTTTTTTATTTTTATGCCGCCCCAAAGGCTCAAAACAGCCTTAACTTTTTATAGCACCTGAAGTTACCAAGGGTCAAGGGCCCATGCACGAGATCTCTGGACATTCTTAACAAATACAGTATAAGGGTGTTTTGTGTTGTAATGAGAAAACGTATCACAATACTGTTAAAAGAGAAAACAACCAGCTTTATCCTTTAAGCTCTAAAGTATCATTTTGGTTTACTTCAACAAAAATCTGACTGCTTGCATTTCTTGACCTGTCAAAAATGTTTTTAATGACACCAGCTCCCACACCTCACCTATTAACTTGGTGAGTATAATGTTATAAATGCAGACAGAAATATTGGCCAGAACTACAAATTAAGACAAAAACTGTAATAAAATGTAATTATTCTTAAACCAAAAAGTGCTGTTCCTAAATCAGCCCCTTGAGGAAACAAGAAAGAGTGATCTCACTGGACAAAAATGTCCTCAGTGTGAATGTTTGAAGCTCAGATTGGTTCTCACCAGGATGGTGGTGCAGGAACACTCAACACACTACCATTACACTGACTCAGCCTATTAATACGCACGTCCTGAAATAAGCTCGAGCCACAGCACCAAACTGAGCTCCCCTTTCTGGGAGAGCAGCAACTCTGTCATTATAGAGAGAAGGGAAACACAGGAGGTCTAAACATCTGCTCTACTGTGTGTGTGTGTGTGTGTGTGTGTGTGCGTGCAATGTCAGTCTGTGTCTGTGTCATTGTTTCATGTTGCTTAGTCGCACTGCTTTTTCTAGCTCAAACTGGCGGTGGTCGACTCGCTCCAAGAAGTTCTTCCGCTCCACAAACCTAAACACACACACACACACACACACACACACACACACACACACACACACACACAGGGAAAACATTACACCTTTTTATCAACACAAGTACACATGAAAATATGACTAAGTGTAGAGAAGCAGCATGCTCATCACACCTTTGCTGTTCTGTAGTTGTGAGGACACTCACTGACATAATGCATTCCCTAGTCTCTTACTCTAACCTTAAAGATGGACTTCACAGATTTTCTATAACATTTTAATAATTGTAAAATTGTTAGTATAGCTAAATCACATGTATCTTACCTCCCTCCATGCTTCCTGTGCACCTTATTGATCTCCTGCAAGAAGGTTTGTTTGCCAGATGATGCAACACATCATCTTGTGTCACCCAGCTGATTCTTGTACAAGAATCAGCTGGGTGACAGGTGTTCTACAGTTAATAAAACCTTGTGGAAAATCTGCAAAGTTCATTTTTTAATCATCACAATAAATGACTGAGCCTAACCTAAACCAGACTTTAAATTGAACCCAGTCTTAATCCTCAAACCGCAGTCTGAAGGTGTGTGAGAAAGTCAAAGACCTGTAAAAATGTCCTCACAACAATGGCATGAAAACAAATATGTCCACACAACCAGAGACAGTACACACACACACACTCCTTCCACTTCAGCACAGGAAGTAGTCACACAGCTTTTCCGGCTGTGTGTAGTGTGGAAGTACATGTTGTGGCTGAGTGTTTCTAAATGAGCTCCCATCCTTATGTTTGGCTAGACGTTAGTGCACATTAACTATGACGGGAGGGTCAGGGTGTTTATGTGCTTGTGTGTCTGTGGCACAGAATGACAGTGATGGAGAGTGCATGTAGCAGAGAGTCATGTTATGTCCCTGGAGTGGCCAGTCTTCCAGATCAGAGTGTGAACCTGGCTTGTGTGTTTCCCTCGAGTCTGGACACATCTGGGCAAATGACATATTTTACTGATTTCTGAAGTGAAAAGAAGTAAATCCAAATTGTACAGCAGGGAGACAGTGAGAATGGGCCTTTTTTTAAAGTTACTTATTGCTTTATGAATTTTAAGAAGTACAAAAGTAGTGGAAAGTATTTCCGATGGGAAATACTCGTGTTTCTCTCTATGAAGCTACAAAGCTTCTTCCTTCTCTCCTGCCTCCTCCTGTCAGACCGACACCTTTTTAAAACGTCTTGTACTGCAGTCTCTTGGAACTCATCAGCCAAAATACACAGCGATTCCAAATACTGTGATAAGGTAAAATTGGCTGATATTGAATAGAATCTAGTATAAATATCACACCTCAGTATATTAATAAGATCTATCTCAACAAAAATGACACACAATAACTACTACTATTGATAACGGCAGACAGAATTGACATTCTAAGTGTAGCACAGCTAAATGCTGAAGTCTGGTTGCTGTGTTAGTGTTTGCAGCTAAAATAAAGCAAGCCGCTAAAAGTGCTACTGATTTTGTCGAGTTTCAACCTAATGATATGGCTGTGTTCATATTACAGGCCCAGTTGGTCAGTTTGAGTTTTAAGGCAGATCCGGTCTTTATGTGTTGATGGTTTGATTTGTGAACACGGCTGAAGTCTTCAACTGGAACCACCAACAGATGGAACTGAAATTTGAGCTACGTGCACACAAGAATATCATCATCATTTGTGTGACAGTCAAATCACACAGTTCCCTCAAAAAGTGCTGGGTTACGAAATCTTCCTTCCACTTTGGCCTGATCACAAGCTTCTCCATCCCGGTCTCTCCACAGACCTCCGCCACTGTTGATGCTCTCCTCCGTGTTTATTTATTTACCAGTCTGTGAGGACCCAGAACTGAATGCTGATAACAGGTGACAGGCGCAGAGGAGTGAGATGCTTAAAAAAAACACTAATTCCGATCTGACCGTTCTGACAATAGGTGCAGAGATCAGATATCAATCAGATCTAGAAGCACATATGGAAGCGGCTGAAATCTGATGTGAAAAAATATGATTTGGTTTGTTCACGCTTGTATGAAAAGACCAGATCTGAGTCACCTGGAGGGGCCACGTCAGAGTGTAAACTGACCACAACCTATAGTTCTGTAAGACAACAGTCATTTTTGTTGTCAAACTCTCCCTGAACTGCAGCACCACATCTACTCTTACCCCTCTTTGCCTCTGTTGTGAATGGCCAACTCCTCTGAGATCCCCTCCTCCGATTTAAAGGCATCCCAGTCCATCTTAGACTTTTCCAGTGTGCTCATCTTCTGTTTTTTCCCCCCAATACGACTCAGGATGCTCGACATCCCTGCTGGTCGCTTGGCGCTGCGAACACATGAGAGGGAACTTTTGGGTGACATCCTAGAGACACACACTTAAGGTGACAAACTACTGTAGCAGAAGCACATTTCTGTTCTTTGTGGCACATGATGGATATTGCTAATGTTTCTGTGCAGAGCCTGGTCTTCTCAATCAAAATTACTGCATGAATAAAACAAAATAGATTATTCTAATGTACATAGCACCAACGACTCACATCACTTACTGCCCCAAGTGACAAATGGATTCATCACATTGAACAGGCATGAAAACCTGGAATTATACTTTGTGTAAGACAGAGACATGTTTCAGCATCAGCTCCTTCAGGAACAAGCCACCTTCATTGTAGGACTGTTCACAGCAGACACAGACTGCAAAGTTCAGAGGGTTTATGAAACAGTATGAGCTGCACACAGTACGCAATACATTTGTTGACAATGTCCGAAGTCACAGTGCAACCCTCAGAGCTACTTTTATTTGTGTTGGTGTACCTCTGTCTCTTGTCGTAGCAGGTGTGTTACAACTGCTGGGTGATGCTTTGTTTCAACTGGAGAAATTCAGAAGTAGCTGCAACAGCCACCGGACATTACCAACAAGTGAAAGAACTCTAATGATTAGCTGTGCACATAAGCTATAATGCAGGGGTTAAGGCCAGCTTTTGACTGTTAAAAAGCACCACCTTAACAAATAAATGAGAAAAACAAAATAACATATTCAGTGTACGTATTTAATCTATTTGGGGTCATATTTCCTCACCACACACTTGGGAGCCGTTACTGCTGCAGGTGTGTCTCCCACATCACTTTTTTCATTTCAAAATCCAATCCATTGTGTGCGACTGCACCTGAGAAAACATTGGCTGGCTAGCTAGCTAGCTAACAGCAGTAAAACATGTCACCTCCTGATGATGTAGGAGTGGGGTTGTGCTATTCAAATATAACTAGTCATTGAAATCATGCATATTACTTTATTTTTGAATTTATGTGAATTTTTGAGACCATTTAGTAAATACCTAGCTTTGTAAATTACTCTAACAATAATAATAATAATCTAACCCATTGCGGCACTACTCCATGGCCCACTGGTTGAGAGTGGCTTCTATAATGGTTGAGCACAGATTGCCCATACGCACAGCTACTATAACCTTCTTGTTATTGCTGGTATTTTTCTTCATCCCCCTTATATAACCTGTACATGCCACAATCAATCAAACCCAGGTTTTTCATCCAATTCTGCTCTCAGTCTATCTTAAGTACTTCACCATACACAGCCATGATAACTCCTGAGGGGCTCCTGCTTCAAGTGTGCATCCTAAACTCTGTCATTGTGCAGACTGAGTCTTCCTTCCTGTCCATGAATAGACCAATAACTTCAGTGCAAGCTTACGTTCCAGCCACAGCTGAGTCTTTTCATCTATACTCTATAAATCCGCATTCCTCTTGGCACATGAATTACTGAATAACCTCAATAACCAGCAGAACTGCTCAAGCCATTTTGCACCAAACTGCAGAGACATTTTGCTGTCGCCTTCAGTGAGACTAACATTTTCATTTTATAGTGAAATCATTTGTAACATCACAAAATAAAGAATATTTTTTATTAAGGCTCAAAGAAAACAGGTTGTACGTTTTTAAACCAAGTCAGTGATATTATGAACATGTTATTTTTTGAGCAGTGTACAGCCAAACTCTTAAATGTGAAGTCTGAACTTCTTATAGGTTTATTCTTATATGCTCATGTAACACGACTCTTCCCTGCGGTTGGAGCAGTAGAGATGTAAAAATATATTTAGACTCAATGTAGAGCTAAAACATTACGTTAAAGTTTGACATTCTGTAAAATGTAATTATTCATTTTCTTTGTGAAAATAAGAGAAAAAGTTGACGATATCAATCTTATGTCTGTGTGTTAACTTTGGAATCAGGACACAGTTCACATAGCTCAGCATACAGACTGCAAGCACGAGAACAGATAGCCTGGCTCTGTGCAAAGCTCTAAAGTACACCTACTCTGTTATTTATAATGTGTATCATGCATAAAAAGAAATGTAAACATGAAACCCATTCACCAAGGCTTTGGTTTTGGTGTTTGCACAGTTAGGCCTTTTCCACTGTAGGAACCTACTGAGCCTTAACAAATGTATACACACTGTCACAGGTTCTGCTTTTGTTTCCGCTGCCTTGAACACTATCTGGTTCAGAAAACACCACGAGAGATTCAAATGGGCTAACGTAGACACTATGAATAACTACTTTTGATTTGGCTACTAAAATGACTTTGCTACAATGGCATAACAACTAGATCATGTGATATTAGTCAATTAGTGTCAAGGCAGTTTGACTTTTAAGACATTACAGAAATCAAATACTGCCCCCTTCTTAAGGTTAAAAACAACCTGCTTTTATTTTGAAAGTAAAAGGAGGCTTCAAACTACGCGATTAAGGTGATGTTTTGGGTTCACACTCAGGGGATTCAACACTTTGAGGGACAACGGTTTTGATCACCATGAGTGTGTTCACAGTTCTGTCTTCTCTCATTCTCAAATCTGATCCTGCTCCTTTAAATCCTCTTAAATAATATGAGAATGAGACATTTTGGGGAGGTGACAGTGGTGAGTTGGGTAGAGCAGTCGTCTCCCAACCAGAAGGTTGAAGTTTGAATCTCAGTGCCGGCAGTCCACGTGTCAAAGTGTCCTTGGGCAAGACACTGAATGCCCCTGTTGCCCCTGATGGTTAGAGCCATCGGTTGAGGTGGCGCCGCAGATGGTTGCCTTGGTTCTGTACTGGAAACAAATTCCTTGTGTGTAACATACTTGGCCAATAAAGGTGATTATCCTTATACATGTTTGCATCACAACATTTAAAAAGCTCAAGTGATCATTTCACTATAAGAAACACATTTTGGAACACTGACAGGAGGGTATGCTGCTCTAGTTTCTCTTTTCATTTGACAGCAAAGCTTTACCAAAACCTACTGGCACTATTTACTCTGTAAATCAGAGACCCCTCTGTTCTGTAGTAAACACGCTACTGTTATGTTACATAACAACTATACTGTCATCTCCATCTGCAACAAACACCGACTTCACAGTCTCTAACAATGTGCGTACACAAGGTTAATGAGCGCTCTTTCCTGTTGTGCTGGGTGTTCCTTCTTCACTCACGCACAAAACACTTCAGGGGATGTCACACTGGCTTCCATTAATTTCCTGGAGATTTACCTAAACTTAACCATAAGCACTACTTAGCTGTTCCTAACTGAGCCTAAACTTAAACCACATCATCGCTGAAAAATTTGATTATTTATGTTTTTGGGAAAGTGCTTTGTCCCCACACTACTGGTAATACCAGCTCCCTTCACCACAGACAGGCAGACACACTTGTACTTCTGTTTTGTGAGGACACTTGCTGACATATGGACATAATGCATTCCCTAGCCCCCTACCTTAACCATCAGGACTAAATGCCTAACTCTAACCCTTCCCCCAACCCTAACCTAATCCTAATTCTAACCTGAACCCTAAAGCCAATTCTTAACCCTCAAAAAAGTTTCAGGAAGTGAGAACTAAGGACTAAGATAAACAGGAAACAGTTTGTGTACTTCCTGTTCTTACTGCCTATTGATAGTTGATTTCCTGTTTCCTGTCTTAGATTTCAAGCGGTAAGATGTGCACATCCCAAATAATTTATTGCTGAGGCAGCAAAACAGCATTAGACATAGGGAAAATCACACACATGAAACACATAAAAAGAAAAATTCAAGTGCATGGATGTCTGAATGACAGCCCATGTACAAAGTTAGTTGCCCTTGTGAAGGCCCCCCCTGCCTCCTGGCTGCTGCTGCTGTTGCTCTGTGTTTGCAGGGGCAGGAATCCAGCTTCTGGGCCCAGTGTACCCTACGCCTGCTCAGGTCCAGAGCAGCTGCCAGTGTTGGGCTCTCCCCTGCCCAGGCACCACGGTGTGTGGTGTCCTGAGTTTCCTGTTGATTTGTTTTATAGCACAACACTCATGCAGCACATTGTCTCATCCACTCCCTACACTACTGACTTCACAAACCTTCCCTAAATATCTAATCTGCACAGTTCTCTATGTTGTTTGAAAAAACAAATTAATTTCTCTTGTATTCCTCGTGCATGTGTCACTCATTTCTGCCACAGTCTTAGAGACAGGCTGTGACACCCTGTAAACTGTCATCAGACACAAGGGCCACTTTTGCTGGACTGCAGCTTGTCTATGGGTGTTGTGGTAACACCAAGACATGTGGGTTGCACCGCAACATGGCTATGTGTGAAGGTGTGTGTACCTGGGGCCAGGACCAGGTGGCTGGCTGGGCGATGAGCTGTTTTCTTCATCTTCATTCTCCTCCTGCTCGGTGTTCTGGCTCTTCAGATAATTTCTAGCTTCTCTGGAGTCTGCTGATACCTCTTTATTCATCCTGACAGAGGGAGACATACACACAGTATGCTAAACTCTGTATGAAAAACAAAAGCAGATAGGATACCGTCTACAGCATGTCTATGGAGCAGTCTGCTAATATATGGTAATGATCTGGTCAAAAACACATTTAGCAGTAAACACAGAAAACCTCTTAGCAAATGGAAACAGGTCAAAAAACATTCTGAAAGAAGATACTATGATTAGTTAACTGGATTTGCGGTACATTTTTATCTTCTCCAACAACATGATAACTGGTTTGACTAATGACCATTTTGTCCTCACAGGGCTCCTTTTCATGTGTGACTGTTGCAGTGTTATGTTCCAAGCATGACTTTATGTTCACAGGGAAAGGTCTGTGTATCGCAACAACAGTAGATGCACCGAATGCACTTCAGTATCACACTCTCAGTGTTTTGACATAAAGGCTTAATAGTTTGAAAAAGATGAGTTAGAGATACAAAATTCATGTGTACACACACACACACACACACACACACAACCCCAAAAGTTGGGACATACAGTGGGGCAAATAAGTATTTGATACACTGCCGATTTTTCACGTTTTCCCACTTACAGAGAACGGACAGTTCTGTAATTTTCATCGTAGGTACACCTCAAATGTGAGAGACAGAATCTACAAAAAATTCCAGTAAATCATTGTTAGATTTTTAAATAATTTATAATTTAACAGCAAGCCACATTTAGCAATTGTCAGGATGTGCAAATGTAAAGTACAATATGCACTGTAACAACTGAATATTTGGAATATTAGTAGTAATATGTGATAAAAATACAGAAGTAATCTAAACAGACACTAAAGTAAGTGTTGTCACTGTTGATTCAAATGATTCACAGACCACTGCCCCTTGTAATGACTAGTACACAGCTATGTAGTAAAGTGCACCATGTTGTATGGATTTACTGATTTTGACATAGTAACCTGTGCACTGGAAAAACTGCACAGTAATTGGTGTCTCTGTAGCAACTGTGTGGACTGAACTGTGTCCATGTTTAACAAGGTTATGAGCTTTTTTTCAACTGGTAAGTTTTTACTCCTCAGACAATTATTGCCATTTTCATGCTTGAAAATGTTTATCAGAGCTTCAGATTATTTACTTTCAAAACAGCATGGTGAGGCAGTGATTAGCACGGTCACCTCGCAGCAAGAAGCTTCTGGGTTCGAGCCCCTGCCAACCCAGGGCCTTTCTGTCTGGAGTTTGCATGTTCTCCCTGTGCCTGTGTGGGTTCTCTCTGGGTACTCTGGCTTCCCACAGTCCAGAGACAGGCAGCTTAGGTTGACTGGAGACTCTAAATTGCCCCTAGGAGAGTGTGTGTGTGGTTGTTTGTCTCCAAGTGTCAGCCCTGTGATAGACTGGCGACCTAGTCCAGGGTGGACCCCGCCTCTCACCCAATGTCAGCTGGGACTGGTTCCCCATGACCCTCTTCAGTATAAATAAAATAGATCATTTTTCTAAACAGTCTGTAATGCTGTGTAATATATTATGAAAACAATAAATAAAGATTGACTGTCAAACAGAGAAATATCTTATTTACAGACTCCTCCTTAGACGTCTGATGTGAAATAGTTAGCAGAGGCTAAAGGGCCAGCTGTCACCACACGTCCACCTTGAATAAACAATATCCACTGTATCTTTAGCTCTCATGATGGTGATGAAGGAGGTGAAGTGACCTCTGTGTACCTGGTATAGCAAACAACAGAACATTTTCCATGGTTAGCTGTACCATGTCCTGTTCTCAGTCTGCTGAAGCAAGGCAGTAATGGCAGATGGAGAAGCAGTTTTTCCCGGCGGTGTTATCGTGGGTGTTACAAAGTGATCTGGAGGTGGTCTATCTCCCCTATATACACAGAACGAACTCTGAATGGCGTTTGAGAGCACATTTCTACAAACGAGGAATAAGAGAAAGAGAGGGAGGGCAGGGACTTCTCTCACCTTTGGTCTGCGTCTACATGCGCTGGAGAGTCATCTGACGGTGTTAATATGATCAAGAAGTGGATTTTGCATAACAGGACACCTTTAATGATTTAGCTCCAGCACATTCCAACGCTGTTTAATGTGCACTTTCCCTTACAAATAAATCAATACAAATAAACCACACTTTTTATCCACAAGGCATTTTAAAAGATGTATCGACACATATTTAATCTACACAGCTGCACAGTTGATTCTGCTTTTAAAATTTGTCTTCAAGTACCTGTTAAATCAGGATGTAGAACCTCTACACGCATGCTGTATAGGGACACACACAGTCTAAACGTGTCTCATTGTGCAGTTAAATAAGAGGGCTATAAACCACTGGTTCCACCGGGCACTTCCACACGACTACTTGCATCCATCATGGTGTGGCTGCAAGACGTTCCCTGTTATGTATGCTCATTATATGCACCCATAATTACACAGAGTACACATCTCTGTAGATGAGAGACCAGCATTTTGAACAAGCAAGTCTAGTTTCACAAAAAAGAAAGATACTGTATGTGTTCCAAAACGAATATAATAAAAAGACATAACAGCAGCTACAGGTGATGGATGTCTGGACACTATTTGAAATAGTGTAGTGTTTCCAGCTAATAACCAAATGATCAGACATCACACGTTGCCAAAATGACAGAGTGACTGAGATGCAGAGAAGTTAAAGACATGAAGATCTGATGTACAGACAGGTGACAAAGTGAGTGGTCTCTTCCAGGATGACAATACACCCATCACCAGGGGAGAGTGAATGGTTTGGCAAGTATGAAAATGATGTGAATCACATGCTGTGGCCTTCACAGTTACCAGACCTGAGCCCAGTCGTACACCTTGCTACAGAGAGCCTGGTCCACTTTTTTTAAGCAATTCTGATTTTAAATATTAGAGTATTAGAAATTAAGCATGTATATACTGTTTACTCAACCAGACTGAATTTCTCTGTGTGTGTGTGTGGCGCCCCCTAATGGTCAATGTGAAAATGGTTCCATATTTCATTTGAGATAATTAGCATCAACATCTTCTATACACACTATATGAATTTAAATTAATGTTGTGAGCTATGAGGAGTGCAGTGAATTAATTAAGAAGGATGATATTAAGAGAAAGTCATGGACTCCAGACAGCACAAAGACATGTTCCGATTAACTGGAAGGTTTATCTAATCCATTATGCTATATTTTAGTCTTGCAACATAAGCTTTATTGAGATGTTTTTAACCAAATCAACGTTTCAGAACCATACCTAATTTCTTCTCCAGCGAAGTCAAAAACTTTAGTGATGGTGACTTTAGCAGGTTCTGATGCTTTGGTTTCTGTCCTCAAAGGTGCAACCTTAAATACAGAACAAGACAAAAACAAAAGTCCTTCAGTTTGATAACTGAATGCTCTCATGAACTGGGCTTTAATTGTTAAATCCACCTGGTAAGGCTTCTCAAGTCTGAGACTTTCCTTTCCCTCAAGTGTTTATGTTTTAAAACATGATATCATCTTAAGGCCAATTCAAGCATATTTACCTTCTGTGTGGTACTTGACTGTGAGGTGGGTGTGGAGTCTTTGGATCTGGATCCAACATCAGACAGGAAACTCGCCCAGAGGTCATCTGACTTTTTCTTCAGTCTTGCTTCATCTTCCTCCTCTACTTGAGCGGGTTTTCCTTCCTCTTCCTCTCGTAGCTGGACCTCTTCTGCTCTGCCTCCACCCTTCACCTCCATCTCTACTTTCAGTACTCTTTTCTTCCTTTTTCTGTAAAAAATTTTTAAGGATTCCAGTTAATAAAAGTCATCATCACTGGCATCATCTCCTTTTACAGGGTGCCATTTCAGTAGTGGAATCAGCATTTGATCACAGCTAATTTACAAAAATGTCTCATTTGTTCATAATTAGGCTTTGAGTGGCATCTGAACCACAATGGGCATTGATTACAAAGTGTATTATCAAGTCCAGTACTTAATCTGAATTCATTCTATTGAGACTAGGGCTGTCAAACTTAATGCAATAACACATTAGCACAAATTCCTTTTAACACCACAAATGTTTTTGACACCTTGTAGTTCGGAAAATCAGGAAGTAATACAGCAGCAGAAATAGATAAAGAAAATTGTCTTTTGAACAGCAAGTTCTTCTTCAAGGCCCTGTCAGATGTTCTCTTGACAAGACCACAGTTATTTGCATTTACCGTTAGTGTGAACTGATTTACCACTGGAGTATGACAAATCTCAAAGTCAAAGTATTAACATCAAAACATCTTAAAGTACTAAAAGTACTCGTTATGTAGAATGGCACATTTTACATTCCTGTACATCATATTTTGTATCGTCTTATAATTACTGATGTATTGTTGTCTACAACATATTTAATGTTGACGCTGGTAAAGGTGGAGCTAGTTTTAACTAGTTTATATGCATTTAATGTGAATTACTGCTGGGTAGCTTGTGAACTTTCCACCATAGAGCCATGAGATGTAATTATACTGTATTTCTGTATTAATCTGGTTATAAAAAGTAACTAGTTACTGCAGTTCTAAAATAACTGTAGTGGAGTACAAAGTAAAATATCCATCCATTATCTATTCCGCTTATCCTGAAGAGGGTCATGGGTCGCTGGAGCCAATCCTGACTGACATTAGGCGAGAGGTGGGGTCCACCCTGGACTAGGTCACCAGTCTACCACAGGGCTGACACTTGGAGACAAACAACCACACACACACTCACTCCTAGGGGCAATTTAGAATCACCAGTCAACCTAAGCTGCAGGTCTTTGGAATGTGGGAGGAAGAGAGAACCCACGCAGGCACAGGGAGAACATGCAGACTCCACACAGAAAGGCCCTGGGTCGGCCGGGGCTCAAATCTGGAACCTTCTTGCTGCGAGGTGACAGTGCTAACCACTGCACCACCATGCCACACAAACTAAAATATTTGCCTCTAAAATGCAGTAAAGTTAAAGTATGAAGTAACAGAAAATGAAAATACTCAAATACCTCAAAATTGTACTTAAGTACAGTACTTGAGTAAATGTACTTAGTTACTTTCTACCAGTGTTTAGAACTGGGTTTAAAAGAAAATGTGATTAATTTGCAATTAATCATGAGTTAACTGTACATAATCATGTTATTATGCAGGGCTCAAAGTGGAGAGATTCAGTGCGTCTTAACTCTACATCTGGACTTCACAGCCTTGTCCCATCTATGACCTTATTTGTAGATCGCTAAATTGTTATGAGTTCTAAAGCTGTTATGGGAATTTGAGTATGAACATGCAGGGAGCTCCGAATTCATTGTACACATGTAGTAATCAGGGCTGGGAAGAAAATAAATTTTCCAATTACTCGCTATTTTTTGGAACAATTCATTCAACAATTCAATTACTAATTCTTGAAATCCAGACACCGATATCTGCATTTGCACATTTTCTCAGTAAAATGTACAAATGTGCAAAATGTTCTGTATATCAAACTGCACATCTGCTGGGATTAAAGGAAAACCAAAAGCTGCAGGTAGGGCACAGGAGTGGTGATATAGTGCACCACTGTGCAGCTCTGATGCACAAACGGGGTCTAAAAAAAGTCATCGTTAGGAAACCTTACCTACTGACCTCAAAGGTGTGGAGGAAAAAAAAAAGAGTAGCATTCAATGAAAAACCAACTGTTATTTTGCTTTGGACCTGTGTGGCAAAAGGAAGCATTGCACAGACAAAGGGAAGAATGGATTCCACTAAGTGGAGGCTAATTCTGGTTGCAAATGTGCACATGTAGCAATTCAAGACAGTCAAAGTGAAAAGAGACTGGCCTCTACAACAGGACAGTGGATCCCAAGCAGAACTCTAAATCTACCATGAACTACTTCAAGACACAAGATGAAGCTTTTGAAAAGGGCCTTGCAGCTCCCTGACTTGAACATCACAGAAGATTTGTGGATAAGTCTTAAACATGCTGTGTGTGCAAGGTAGTCTATAATATATCGGAGCTTAAAGTGATTTGTGGGAAATGTTGATGGAAAGTCCTAAAACTCTTAGTGGGCTACAAAAGGTGCTTGCAAGCTGATGTTTGCATTTACTTCTTTTCAGTGCAAAAAACTACATACAACTGTATTTGACATCAAAAGAGTATTAAAAATACCAACATATCAGAAATCACACATATACAGGTGCATCTCAATAAATTAGAATATCATGGAAAGGTCCATTTATTTCAGTAATTCAACTCAAATAGTGAAACTCGTGTATTATATAAATTCAGTACACACAGACTGAAGTAGTTTAAGTCGTTGGGTCTTTTAATTGTGATGATTTTGGCCCACATTTAACAAAAACCCACCAAATCACTATCTCAATAAATTAGAATATGGTGACATGCCACTCAGCTAGTCAACTCAAAACACCTGCAAAGGTGTCCTGAGCCTTCAAAATGGTCACTCAGTTTGGCTCACTAGGCTACACAATCAGGGGGAAGACTGCTGATCTGACAGTTGTCCAGAAGACAATCATCAACACCCTTCACAAGGAGGGTAAGCCACAAACATTCATTGCCAAA